GGCAGAGAGAGACGGAGACACAGAATCCGAAGCAGGCTCCAGCCTCCGAGCTGTCAGCACAGAGCCCGACGCGGGGCTCGAGTTCATGAACCATGAGATCGTGACCTGAGCCGAAGTCGGACGCTCCACCGACTGAGTCACCCAGGCGCACCCCCCCCCTTTTTAAAACTCTGGCAGAGGTGTTCTCTTGTCTTCTCTGCAGTTTATACCCATAGCCATTCGCTCCTGCATTCATTTCCAAACCAGACTCTCCCTTCTTCTTAACCCTTGCCTAAACTAAAATAGGACAAACAAGGAAAATTATCATAACCATCTCGTGACCATCTCCAGGCACCGGGCTCCACCCAGGCTTTGCAGCCCTGGTCGGGGTGACTAATGCCTTCGTAGGTCTGCCTGGTTGGTATGATGAGTCCCGTTTTACAGATGAGGAAACTGAGCCTCCGAAAGTTAAGAGACTTGCCCAAGCTCACACAGTAGCAGCTGGTAAGCAGAGCCTAGACCTGGCCCCAGATCTCTGACTCTAGTTTCCGAGCTCTCTGCTGGGCTCTCCCCGTTCCTCTTGTAATTGTTAGTCTGCCTGACTCAGGGCTGTGTATTTATGCATGCATGCTTGCACGTGTGCGTGTATGTGAGTGTGTATAATAAGTGTGTGTGTGCTGTAATGTGTGTTTCTGTGTGTATATTTGTGTGTGTGTGTGTGTGTGTGTGTGTGTGTGTGCGTTGCCTGCAGGAGCTCTAAGGAGGCCAAGCCATAGAAGGCTATAGAAGGGTGCCCTCCTCCCCAACCAGGAGGCCCTGGTCAGACAAGTTACTCGCAGAAGCCTGCCCTCCAACCTGCAAACCTCCCAGACCACAGGTTCCCTGGCTTATAGCGCTAGAAATGAATCCAGCCATCGTGCTCAGAAGGAACCCTAGATGTGGGGTTTCTAGAGTCCACAGTCTTGAATTAAACATCACAGGCCTCAGGCAAAGGACGATTTCCTTTCACACCAGGCAACCAGGGAGAGCTGGGCCAGTGACAGAGCTCTGACTTTTCCTTTGATGTGCCCGCCAGAGAGCTCACCCCTCCCTAAGGTGCCCCCCCCCCAGGACTTGGCAGGCTAGCCCCCAAAGCTGAGACACCAGACCACAGAATGGGGCAGCAAAGGGCCCAGAAAAAGGCCATTGTCATGGGGCTGGCTAAAAATGTAAGAAAACCTGAGGATTTACATAATCAGGCTTTACATGCATTATTCATGAGCTGCCTCATTCATACACAATGCAGGGGCCATGCCAGCCTGTTGGGCACTGGACATCCTTCTGTGGAGAAGGAGCTGAAGTGGCCAAGTCAAACCTGCATCTGTATCCCCAGAAGAGCCGGGGCTGAGAACTTTCAAATTCATGGAAGTCACAATTTAGGGAAAGATTACGAAAAGCAGAGCCACAATCACAGCGATGCCGGTGGCATGATTTCCTGGGCACGTACCGAGGGACAGGCACCTGCTCCACGCGACACATGCTTCATCCCTCCCATCAGCCCCGCGGGGGATGCTGGCTCGTGGCCGCCCATTCAGAGCGGCTGACAGAGGGCAGCGTCACCTGGCTGCCCGGCAGCAGAAACGGGACGCCACCCCCGCCCCAGGCCTGCTGCCCTCCCCAGCCCGAGTTCGCTTCTCCCCACCCGTTGCTCTGTGCGCCTCCTTTTCCAGGAGGTCTCCGCTCATCCCAGGGCTAGGGTTGGCATGCAAGGTGTATTATTAACATGTCAGAATTTCCTGTTTATCAGGAGGAAAAACAACCACCAACATAGATTTTAGGGTTTTGCTGCATTCTAAAGGGAACTTCAGAATCTGTCTTGGCCTCAGTTCCCTCCAAGGAACATATTCATCATGGAAATGATTTTTGTTTTAAGTTTGACACCTAGCATCTTCACCAGGAGCCTTCGTGGTTTCGGTCTCACGTATAAAATTTCCCCCATCCGTAGAGAACGGGGTGGCTGAGGCACTAGACCGGCAGAACCATCACCCTCCTCAAAAAGGAAAAACAAAAAGCAGGAAGTAGTTTTTAGTGTCAATGTTCAAACATCTGTTCGCCAAAGCAGAACTTTCTGGAATCAAAAGTCACACTTCCACACTCATACCTTTGGCTGTGGCAATGAGACTTGATATAAAATACTGGGGAAGACCTCAGTGCTGGGCACTCACAGGGAACCTCACGGTCATCAGCTCCGGACCCTGGAAGGCCCCCGGTCTGGAGCTCTGGCCCTGTGACAGAGGGACAATGACAGCTGTGCAGGCTGCGCTCAGTCTCATCCGCTTCCCACACCACCGTATAAGGCAGCTGTGTCTCTCGGAGTTCAGAGGCGGACTTTGGAGCCAAACGACTAGAGGCGAAGCCCCACCCCTGGCCCTGAGTGACCCCGAGCCACCGGTTTATGCCCCCCCGCGTCTCAGATTCCTCAACACGAGCACCCAAAGATGATTAACAACGGGGCCCGGGGAGGGTTAAATGCCATAAAGCCTGCAGTGCCGGGCGCACAGCAAGCACGATTACGGGGCCTGGGCGGGGGGCAGAAAAGGCAGCTCGTGGACGGGTGGGGCGAGGCCGGCAGGTCCCTGAGAGAGCTTCCTGCCGGCTGACGCTGTCGCCAAACCCCGAGACGCGATCCCGGGGCTCCGGGAGCCAGCAGCTGTTTTGTGAAGGTCCCCTTTAGAGTTGGTGAATACAACCAGGGCTCCGGCCAAGAAGAGCTCAGATACTTTTTGTGAATGGGCGAAGGCTGGAATTTTCAATGGGAGAATTTCAAATGCACTGAAGTAGCCATCGGGGCAGCACGCACTCCCCTTCCTGGCCCTTTATTAGGGCTCCTAGCTGTCTGGAAGGCTCCGGGGTGCGGGGTGCGGTGCGCTGGCTGCTTCTGGCTGGGGAAGCCCCTCAGGTCTCCAGCCAATCAAATCCCGGCCAAGGGGCGTGGCCACAGCGTTGCCGGGTGGGGTCAGTGGGGCTAGACCACCGCCCTCCCCTACACACACACACACACACACACACACACACACACACACACACCACCTTCCCTCTGCTTAATTAGCTCAGATCCCTCATCTTTCAGATGAGAATAGAGGTGGCTTGTAACCCAATGCGTCCAATTCAAGGAGAGTGTGGATACAAGACCCTTAGCACACAGGACTACTCCATACGACCTTCCGTACCGTCATCCATGGCCTCACTACCCTACTCAAAACGCAATTTTCCGAAATTTTTCTCGAGCCCAAGCATTCTCAAGATCCAGGTTTAAAAAAAAAAAAATGTTCTTTTTTAAATCCAGGATCCCTCAGTTGGGTGCTTTTGACCGAGGAGTAGAAATCGGTAGATGGTGTACAGGATAAGAATGGGAGGGTAGGGGGTGGGGACCGTACCCTCCAGCCCACGAAAGGATGAGAATGTGAAGTGTGGTTTGTGCGGCGCGGCGCGTGGTTAGAAGATGAAGCCCTTCCTGCCCGCATCTTCTGCCCACCAGTGAGCCCCAGGGTCTCCCAGAAACCTCAGAGG